ACCATCTGCCTCACCATCACGCTCCTCACCTTCACACACTTGTTTTCGCTGCCTTCACATTATCGATGTGACTCAGCACTGCCGAACCTGTGGAAATGCACAAGTTCCCTCACCACGAGGCAGGCATGCCATTTTCATGCACTTGCATGCCCGCAATGCCTCAGTTCCTGAAGCAGTATCAAGCACATGTGAACTGGCAATTTCAAGAACATGTAAAGCACAAGCCACACTCAACACGAACACAGGTCATGCTCCTTGCCCTCGCACGCTCGCACTGCCCCCGCTCACCCTGTGAGAGCGACGTTGCCAACGCTTCCCATGTTCTTGCGTACCCCATGCTTGCCACTTGGTTTGCCGCGTTGTCCCCTGCTGTCAGACGCATCATCTCCTGCTGTCCGACGCATCATCCTGCTGCCACTGCGACTTCATCCCCTCCTCCACCTCCCTCTGACGTCTCTCCTCCTCGTCCCTCTTCGCCCCCTCCCCTCCTTCGTCAGCTGTCGCTGTGAGAAGGTTACTGAGTGGGGGAGAAAACAAAGAAGGTAGTACGGGCAAACTGCTAGGCAAGGAGAGGAGAGTGGAAACGAGCTCATGGTTTCGCATCAACGCTGAAATTCATGTTTCCATCAGAACAGGAGCGCCAGAAGAACCATAGCGGGAGCAAAGGAGAGAAGAGCGGTAGACAAGTATGGAAGAAGCGATATAGTGTGAGCTGGTGATTCACTTCCCCCCCTTCGGCTGCTCTCGCCCTGCCTGCAACCTGCCTAATCAGCTGAGAAGCAACCTGCACCCATGGCATGTGATGATGCCATGTGTTCGCACCTCAGATATTTTAAGTGGAGACTAAAAGCCCCGCATGATCATTATCATGCAATGAGTTAACACCACTTATGCAAGGTCATACCTCAGCTGTTGCCTGGCCCTTCGTCCCCATACCTCCCTTCACCCCCTTCACCCCCTTTCACCCCCTTCACCCGCTTTACCATCTTTGCTCTCTTCGCCCTTGTTGCCCTCCGTCTATTGGTGTTTCTCCTCTTCCCTCTCATCAAACCATTCCTCCTCACCCCTCGCCTCACCTCACCCTTCTCACCCTCCGCCTGTGGCCTCTGTGCCCCACTCCCGCAAGCACCGCTATAGCTTGCAGGCCAGCAGAACAGACTCTCGCCTTCCCTCACCTGCCTGTCGCACATGGGAAGGAGAAGATTGCTGAGAGGAGGGGGACACACGCTGCCTCATCCCCCCATCTCAGTGAAGGCAGCAGAGATTGAGGAGGAAAGAGATGGGGGTATTGAGAACAAGGTGTGGCGGGGGAGGGAGCTCTGCGAAAGATATGGGGGGGGGGGGTGGTGATGGATGGGTACAGGACGGTGAAACATAATGGAAGGTGAGAATGAAGGAGCAGGCGCTTGAGTGTGAAGCTTAGACAAGACGATCCCATGCCATGGCAGGCAGGCAGAGCATGTCAGAGCAGTGAATGGCATGTCAGATCAAGTCAATTCCGAGCCTCCACCCAGGCAAACACCTAACAGCCGCCCCGCCACTGCCCCTCACCCCCACCACTGCACAGCATCTCAATTGTAATCACCTCACACTGCACCCTTGCTGCCATGCGCGGCTCACCACAGTGCCCTCCCACTCCCATTGCTGCCTTCACTCCCACTGCGCACCCTCCACACTGCTTCCCACAATCACGCTCTTCCTCCTGCTCCTCCTTACTCTTTCCCTCCTCCTCCTCGCCTGCTCCAACGGCTGCCTGCCACGGGCAGGCCAGCTCAAACTGCCTGCCAGCAGTGAGTTCCTTCCACTGCTGGCATGCGTGGCACGTGCAGGACACCACCCCCCTGGGGTGATCTGCGGAGAGGGGTACTAAGAGGGGAGAGGGGCCACATGACACAGGCCACAGGGCACAGGGGAGGGGGAAGAGGAGTGAATTGAGTGGCGGTGGCTTGCTGCAGACCACACCAGGGGCACCGATAAGAGCAAGTGAAGAAAAGGGGGGCGAAGGGGAAGGGGGGCAGAATGGGGAGGGCGGGGAGGGGAGGACTGGGGCGGAGAGCGGATTGCAAGAGCCCGCTGGAGAGGCGGTAAGGGGAGTGGTAGGGACCGAGGGGCGGGCACGGGGGCGAAGGCAGGTGAGGGGGCGGGGGAATGGGGCTGAGGGAAGAGCGGGATGGCGGGGCGAGCGGGGAATGGAAGGGCCAAGGGAAGCACTGATATAGCACGTTTGAGGGAGGGATGTGGGGGAATGGGGGGACCCTGTGCTTCACTCACGTGCCCTCTGCTTCAGTCACTTGCCCTCTGCTTCACTCGCTTGCCCTGTGCTTCATTCTCATCCCGTGCCCCATGCTAAGCTCACACGCCATAAACCATGCCGTGTGCGTCACTCATGATGATGTGGCACTCGAGGAGTCACTCACCTACCACCTCACTCCTGTTGGCACGCCTTCAGCACGGTCACTATGGGAGTAGCGGGGTGGCAATGGGTGGAACGGGAAGAGCTGAAGAGAAAGCTGAAGAGAAAGTGGGATGGTTTACGCTCGAAGAGACTCTTAAACTGGGTGAAATGGCGGCGCCACATGGCAAAATGGCGGCGCGACGCGGCGAAAGGTGGCGCGACGAGGCGAATTAAGGGGTAACATGGCGAAATTGGGGCTTGATATTGCGACGTGCCGCAGCGCGACCGGCGAAATGACTGTGTGACATGGCCATGGCGGGGTGATATGCGAAATGGCGACGTTACATGGCGAAATGTCGACACGAGATGGCGAAATGGGGGCGTTACATGGCGAAATAGCGGCATGACATGGCAATCGGCGTGATATGGCGAATTGACGACGTGACATGGCGAGATGACGGCGTGACATGCGAAAATTGCGGCGTGACATGGCGAAATGACGGCGCGACATGGCGAAATGACGGCGCGACATGGCGAAATGACGGCGCGACATGGCGAAATGATGGTGTGACATGGCGAAAGGAAAGCACAATACGGACCAAGGGAGAGATACCATAGTCACACTGCAGACTGCGGCGAAACACGTCGGCAGGAAGAGCATAAGCGCGCCGAGCCAATTGCTCAAAGCACCCATCACGACGACTAACATGGGAGGAACGACAGTGAAGCATAGCGTCTAATTCTTAGGCGTCTCGGAAAAAGACCGACAACGCACAGCAGATCCTACTTCTAAAGCCTCTAACTTGAGAACCACGAGCATTTTGCTCGAGCAGCGGCTCCTGAAGGCGACTGAGGAGAGAGCGGAGACTGCTGAGGCGTGTTGCTTTGGGTCGGCTCTGCCCGCTGGAAGCAAACTATATAGGTTACGGCGTTGTGCGAAGCTCCGAGTTTGGAGGGAACAGGTCTGGGTTCGAGTCGCAGCAACGGTAACTACGGGAGACTTCAGGCCTCACGCCACACCAGCTTTGCCATGCCGAAGCAAAGGGTGTACGTCTGGTGCACCAGGTTCGGCTCGAAAATCTAGGGACGCGGAGACTTCGGAGGTCTGTGGGTTCGGCTTCGGTTTGTGACGGCGACGTTACCAGATTCGTTCACGTCGCTTTGGAGTACGAAGCCCCGAACTTGAAGGCGATCAGGCTCGGTCGAGTTACCGAAACCGAAGCTGACTCGCTTAGTTTCGAACTTTTCGATTCCACCTTTCCCAACTGCACCTCTGCAACCGAGATTTTCGCCTAACAAGCAAGGATGTGCTGGCCCTTTACTTCAGCTCTCCATCCAGCCAGCGCATTTGACGGCAGCAGCTACCCTTCTTTCATTAGGACGTGTTCAGCTCTCACGTTCACACTTCATTCTTTATAGAAGACACGATCCGAGATAGTCCCATCAGCTTATCGATTTCCCTTAGCGGCGAAAGCACATATGGCGGAGAAAGTTAGACCAGTGACCAGCAAGTCGTGTTGCCTGGAGCATAGCCATGGCCTTTGAGGTTCGATTCCGCGTTCCCGGAGGCCTAATCCAACGCAAATCCCACGACCGTGATAGCATCGATTCACGAATCAACGACAACCTGTCTCTCGGCGATCATAAACCATCTACCTCGTCACACGTGGACGTTCATGTCGCTGCCTCCCCAGAGGAGCCTCTCCGATCGGTATTCAAACGCCTATTCCAGTCGCATCTGCCCGATTGCTGCCTGCCGTGCGACGCACGCCAGGCACCGCGAGGAACTGCGGAAATTCCGTGCGATGCACGTCTCGTACAGCAGGGAACATCCGGCGATGGCGCGGAATCCGCAGAGGAAACTGAGTCGGTGCGTGGGACGCAGGCGGTCCGGTTCATGGTGGTAGGTCAGGTGGTGTACCTCTCGCCTGACTGCACCGTAGCGCAAGCGAAGCTGAAATCTGGTTCTACCATCAGAGTGCTTCCTGTGAAGATCGCCACCGTGCATGGGGTTGGAGAGGGAAAGAGCAAGGACGGAACTGAAGAGCGTGCAAGGGGTCTTGAGGCCGTTGCTCCTGCTGCGAACGTGCCTACTGTCATTGCTTCCGCTCCTGCACCAGCTGTTTCCGATGCGGCTCCCACTTCCAGCGCGGTTGTTTCTGAGGTGCCTCCCGCCGCTGCTGCTGCTGTTGCTCACCCGCCTGATTCACCTATTGCTGCTGTGCCTCCTGCAGCTGCTGCTGCTCCCGCTGCCACACCTGCTGCTCCCGCTGCCACACCTGCTGTTCCCGCTCCTACACCTGCTGCTGCTGCGGTGGCCAGGCCACGTGGTATCGATTACAGCAAGTGGGACCACATCGGTTCCAGCAGCGATGAAGACGAGGAGGACGAGAAGCACATGAAGATGAACAGAGACGCATCAGAGAGCGGCGCTGGAAGAAGGGAAAAGACCCTGAACTCTGCAGGCACCTATGGGGGCGGTCTTTCCGAACTTGAGGAGTGTATCTGGCATCATCGTGGCGAGCTGATGAGGCAGTGGAAGTTCCCAAAACAGGCGGATGCAGCCGACAGGGCGTCTGCGCTGGAAGCCGAGGGTTCAGGGTCAATGGGAGCTCACGAAACAACCGGGAAGATTCGGCTGCTTGATCGGACCGAAATGGTTCACTATCTTGACGTGAGAGGGGGGTGGGATCTGAAGGAGTGCGATTGCTGCTTTGAACGCGCCGTTGGTTTGGGAATCGAGCGTGCTGTCACCATGCCAAGCCTCGCATCCGCCCATTCCATGTCACAGCTACCTGCCTCCACCCCCCTTGCGCCACACCGGGACAGGGGCAACGGAACTGGCTTTACAGGGAGTGTGCTGGAGTATGTATTGAGAGTGCAGGCGTTTGGAGAGCAAGGGAAGTTGGAGCCCCATGCGCACTTCTCCTGCAAGTGTGCGCTCGCGCCGTTCCTCTGTGCGGAAGTCATGATTCTCGAGTGGATGGCCGAGCCTCGTGTGGGCGTGCTCATGGACCTGGGGAGGATCAGATCCCGCCTGCCTGCTGTTCTGGCCAATGAAGGCTCTCTTGGGTAGTCCCCTGCTGCCTCTGCTGCTGCTGCGGTTGCTGCTGCTCCCCCTGCTGCTTCTGCAGCATGGTCCTGCTGCTGGCGCTGCAGCAGCTGCTTTGCTGCCTACCGCCGTGCTGTCAGCTTTGCTGTTTTCCTCGTGTTTGCGGCAAGGTGGCCCCGGATCGACACGCTATGGAAAGCTCACATGGATATTTACGCTGCAGTGTACCCAGTGCTAGCAGGCCAGCTGGAGGTGGGCAAGCAGGAGGAGCGGGATATTGCTGCCTCCGTGCTGGTGCAGGTCCTGGGGGTGAAGGAGAGTGCTGATCTGCAGGAAGGGTTTGGTTTTTTTGTGCAGCATGTGCTGTCAGGCGGGCTGGAGAAGGTGCATTCTGAGGGGAGGGGGAGGGGGGGAGCCGGAGGGAAGGGTCCGACGAGTGTGGGGCTGATGAGACCCACAGAGCGGATGTGGCAGACGGGGATAATGGGGAAGGTGGGGCCAGCTGTGGGTGCTATGATGCAGAGCTTGCAGAGTGGGAGCTGCGTGGGGCCTGAGGACTGGCTGCGAATCATAGAAAAGTCTGGGATGAACCCATCAGATATTGAGGAGATGCTACGTGCGGGGGCTATGGACATGGCTGTGCCTTTTGGCATTGGTGGTGGTGGGGGAAGTGGAAAGGAAGGGGTGGGTGGTGGTGATCTGAAGGGTGAGACGTGGAAGGAGAATTTGAAGGGGCGCGTGTGGGAGAGGTATGTGGATGGCATGGCTTGGATTCTGGAGCATGGAGGGGGAGAAGGGAGGGAGTTCATGTGCAGCCACTGCAGCGAGGGGGGCAGCAGCAGCAGCAACAGCAGCAGCTGCAGCAGCAGCAATGTGGAAGGCAGGGGTATTCCCAAGGGCATGTATGTGAGTGGCGTGAGTGCCACTGACTTCGCCCTGGCAGTCGCCTCTGTGTTCTCCCGGCCAGAGCACCGCAAGCTGGGAGCCATGTTCTTCGCACCGTTTAAGGGTGCAACCAGCAGTAACGTGCATGACGCAGCCATTCAGGAGGCCATGCTGAGAAAGCGGAAACTGACTAGTGGGAAGCTAGAGAAAAGGGTAAACAATGGAGCGGCAACAGGAGGAGGAGTGGAAGAAGCTGCTTCAGCTGCACCGGCAAAAGGACAACCAGCTCCCAGTGCTGCTGCTCTCTCAGCCGGAGTGGGATTATATGAGGACAGCAGCGGTTCTGCTGGTATCAGTGAAACCAGCCACAGCAGCAGCAGCAGCAGCAGCAGCTTCCTCAGTTCCAGCCTCGTGCCTGTGATCACAGACCCTGTTGTTGGGCTGCTCACATATCAGGTTGCTTGCATCTTGCAGTGGCTTCGAATCTACGGCTCAGATTTCATATCCGCCAAGATGTGCTTCAAGGACAGGCCACAGGGAAAGGTCCTGCCCATGCGCCACCCACTTCGGAATCTTCCAAGCCTGCTGGTCAGTTCGGTGCTACTCTCCCACCACACGATGCAAGCACCCGCCTCCTGGAGTGGGAGGAGTGGTCCCAGGGGGATGAAGCTGCTGTGAACTTTCCTGAGGACTCGAGTGCCAGATGTTTTGGTCTGGGCAGGACAGATGGCGGGAACGTGGCAGCACAGCAGGGAAGTTTCCAGGAAGCTCCCACCAAGCAAGTGCCGCTGCTTCACAGCAGGGAGTCCGGTCCTATCGTGCGTTGCAGGGCAGACGCGAACTTGATAGTGGAGTTTGCCGGTTCATTCCTGGACGCACCAGCATGCGCCCATTGCAACCACTGCATCCGCACGTACATCTCCCATGTCCCTTTTGTCGCTTTCGTTGCCAACTTCGCCTATCGCCCCGTCACCGTCCTCCTCGACCGCTTTCTCTCTGTCTTCAAGCCACACACCGAGGTGTTCCAAAACCTTCTTATTCGCCTGTGCCTGGACTCCTCCTCCAACGCTCCTCACAACAGCGTTTCTGGCAAGCGGGTCAGCAGCGTGCGCATGTTACGGGAACGGGCAGAGCAGCTGCCGGTTGCTTTTCTGCTCAGCCTGGCTCTTCTCTGCGCCAAGCCTCTCCTGCAGCAGAGCAAAACGCAAGGCGGGCAGAGTCCGAAGGCTGGGGGTGGGAGCTCGGGGGCGAAAGGGATGGCGGGCGAGAGGAGGGTGCGGAGGGGCGATTTTGGGGAAGGCAGGGAGGGAAAGAACAGTGGGGGTGGTGAAGGAGATGGTGGGCTTGTGTTGGAGGAGGTACAGTCCTCGTTCACAGTGGCAATGCTGCCAGGTTCTGTCTGTGGGGGGGGCGGAGAGGCCTGTAGTGGCAGGCATGCAACAGAGGAGGATGTGAGTGCGCGGATGAAAGAAGTTACAGAGATTTACCAGTGCTCTCTGTTGCCCAGGTTTCACGAACACATGAAACACAGGGTTGGGCTTGGTCGTTTTAGCAAGGGAAAGGGAAAGAAGGGGAACGTGCCTGCTTACCTGAAGCCCTGGCCAAGGGGAATCAATCTGAGGGCATGTCTGCGAGAGATGCTGCTGGGGGAGCCGTGCTACCGCCCTGCCTCCCCTGCCTCTTTAACCACTGGTGCTGCACAGAACAATGCTTGTGGGAGGCGTGTGTGCGGTGCTGTGGAGTGTGGGAAGGTGGGAGGTGGTGGTGTGAAGCTGAGGAACTGCTCTGGGTGTGGAAAGGTGGCGTATTGCTGCAGAGACTGCCAAAAGGCGCACTGGCCCTCCCACAAGCTCACATGCCCCGGCAGGACCAGCACCAAGAAGAGTGGGACGAACAGTGGCAAGGTGAGGGGTGAGGTGAGTGGCAAGGTGAGTAGAAAGGTGAATGGCAAGGTATATCGAAAGGTGAATGGCAAGGTATATCGAAAGGTGAATGGCAAGGTATATCGAAAGGTGAATGGCAAGGTATATCGAAAGGTGAATGGCAAGGTATATCGAAAGGTGAATGGCAAGGTATATCGAAAGGTGAATGGCAAGGTATATCGAAAGGTGAATGGCAAGGTATATCGAAAGGTGAATGGCAAGGTATATCGAAAGGTGAATGGCAAGGTATATCGAAAGGTGAATGGCAAGGTATATCGAAAGGTGAATGGTAAGGTGAGTGATTAGGTGAGTGGTAAGGTGAGTGGTAATGTGAGTGGTAAGGTGAGTGGAAAGGTGAGTGGTAAGGTGAGTCCTGTTAGGGAGGCGAAGGTGAGGGAGGGAGTGGTACGAGGGAGGTGACAGAGGCACTGTATGCAGCAGGTGGGGTATCGATCTGCCTCAAGGCTGCGATGTCCTTTTAGGCCACGAATTGCAACATCTTACACAGAGCTGCAAAGTAGTGTTGTGATCCCATCGCATGTGCTTGCTGACGCCCCTTAGCTGTGTGCAAATGGGCTGGATGTGGGGGTTCCTTCTGCAAGAATCGTTGTTCAATGGAGCAGCTGTGGTAACTCCTGTATGGTGTTTCTTTTAAGGGAGTTCTCTGCTATGTCTTTGTGTTGGTAGTCACTCACCCTTCTCTCCATCCCTGCACTGCCATTCCTGTCTCCTCCTCCTGCCGTGCCTTTTTCGTCACTTTGACTTTTTCTGCGCGTGCTTACCCGTTCGTTCCTCCCACACCCACTCGTGCACTGGACAGGCCTGAAGCACTGAATGCATGCAATCAGGTACTCATGGTGGGTCTTCAGTCGTTCGTTGCAACTTCCTTGGGAGGTGCCTATGAGTTATTAGTAGACATGAGCAAATCACGAGTCAAGTTTTTCTCTCTCATACCCCTCACGCCTGTCACACCCCCCTCTCCTCACTTACCACCAACTCCCCTCCTAACCTCCACTTCTCTCATACACCCCATTATTCTCATACCCCCGACACCTCTCGTAACCCCCACTCCTCTCACAACCTTCACTCCTCTCATACCCCCCCGCTCCTCTCACTCCGCTTCTGACATACCCCTCACTACTCTCGTACCCATCAAAAATCTTATACCCCCCACTCCCCTCATTCCCCCCACTCCCCTCATTCCCCCCACTCCCCTCATCCCTTGCTTTCATAAACCCCACTCCTCTCTTGACCCCACTCCTATCATAACCCACTCCTCTCATGCCCACCCTCCCCTCCTCCCCCCCCCCCTCTTCCCCCCCACCCCTCTCGTGTCTGATTGCCTATGTCAATCCAATCATCACTCATTTATACTCTTGCTTTCTGCCCTTGGAACTTTCCCCCAACCTGTATTCACTCCCACTCAGGCCACGGTCATCCATTGACAGGCCTGCTTGTGCCCTGCCCTCTTTGGGCTTGTGCAATTGCAATGCTTGCATAGCTTCATGTCAAAGTCGTCAAGCGCATGACAGCATCGTAAGATGCCCGTGAGGTGTTCGCATTGCGTTCCTTTAAGCGAGGCTATGATGCAAGCTGTTACATTCTCAATTCAGATGACTGATGGTTCGCTGCAGGATGAATGTATGGAATGGACCATTCTGAACTGAAACTAGATACACCAAAGAAAAAGTTCTTGTACATTCAGCGGCTGAAATTTGAAAGTCAAGGTTTTGGCCTGCTGCCAGATGGTCCAATGCCCTAGGAATCAGTGGGTTGGTTAGTACCAACGGGAACATGCAGTCACTTCTGGGCAACAGAACCAGCAGACTGCTGTTTAGATGTACCGTACCGTAGAACAGCTTGTGTTGTGACACTAAAAAATCAATGTGCAAGAAAAGGACGAGATTGTGCCGTCACCCTTGGAGAAGCGCAGAAGACTTCCATTCAGCAGCATCCACGTGATCACAAATCGCACACAATGCCATCGTTAAGCATCGAGAGCTCCACGCTGTTGCGGAGGGCGAGGATGGTGAACGCTGAGCACAGTGCTGGAGAACCCGCCAAGGGTTCAAAGAGGGCGACGGTGACGAGGGCGGTGATCTTGGCTGTGCGCCTGCCAGTGCCTGCAGAGAGGGAGAGAGATGACGGAAGGCAAGGGTGGGAAGGGAAGGAAGGGAAGGCAGGGCAGGCAGGGAAGACGAAGGCTGAAAACTGTCAGAGCACGATGCCTGGAAAGGCCAGTTTGAACGAACCACTCTTCTGCTGAAAGGCCAATCAAAGACTGCTGGTGTTGAAGGAAATAATGTTCCAGGTGGGTGACAACAGTGAGGGTAGGAGAGATCGAGGGCAGCTCCTCGCTACCATTTCCTTAACCCACCTGCACCATGTGCCCCACCCACCTGCACCATGTGCCCCACCCACCTGCACCATGGGGAGGAGGGAGGGAGAATGAAAGAGCATGGAAAGCAAGGCGCGTGGGGCTGGGAGAGGCGCACACCATAAAGCCCAGCCATGATTGAAGTGGAAGAAGTGGGGTGCGGGTTTGGGAGTAGTGGGAAAAATGGAGGAACAGGAGTGCGAATATCCTGGCTTCTGGATTGTAGCCTGCCGCATGCAACTATTAAGTTGGGCACAAGCGGGGGAAGGGCAGGGAGTAACGTGGCAAAGCTGTTTCACACCAACTCCATTGTAATGAGGGCCAAAGTCAATGCAGGCATGGTGGGAGGTGATGGGGCGACGGGGCGATGGAATGATTGGACAATGGTGCGATGGGGCAATGGGGTGAACGTGTGATGGGGCGATGAGATGAAGGGACTGACTCCTCCACATTCAACGGGTGGACAAGAAAGACGATCGGCTGGCGCACCAGGCGACAAATGAGAGCACCGACCTGATTCGGTAGAAGCAGGTTAGATACAAGACACTACTCACGTCAGGGTAGAGGTTGGTGATCAATGTGTAAATGTAGAGATGGCAATATGGCCACTGACATGCAACTGACGTGCTACCTCCCTCACAGAGCACACTTCCTTGACAACCCTCATTCTCCCCCTGCTCGTCCCTGAGGAAGGACACGGCCACAGGGCATCCAGTAGCCTCGACCAGCCTCGCCTCACCCACCCACAGGTCACTCAGACGCATCAAGCATCCCACTCACTCAGAACGCACCTCCTTCGCCCTCTGCTCGTCCCTGCAGAAGGACGCTGCCATCGGTCACCCAACAGCCCCCCCAGCTTCGCCTGCAGCCGCTCGGGCACCTCGGCCACGCCAGAAGCCTCTGCCTCGTTGAACAGTGTGCCTGCTCCATACGGGTGAGGGTGGGAGTCGGTGGGGCAGAAGTTGGTGTAGGAGTAGGGTGCGAGCTGGTGGAGGGAGCGGAGCGGGGGTGAGAAGGGGGGGAAGGATAAAAACCATAGTGGCTTATTAGAGGGATGTGGGAAACAGTGTCGTAGGGGTGGGAGTCGGTGGGCCAGAAGTCCGTGTGGGAGAGGCAGATGAGGGCCGGACCTGGTCGAGGAAGGGGTGGTGGGCAAGGGGAAGAGAGTAAAGGGTGTTAAAATGAGAGGTATGTTGCAGCGTTGGCAAGGAGTGAACAGTGCGCAGGTTCCCCGTGATGCCATTTAAGGTGCCAATCTGGAACTTGGGAACAGTGCACAGCCTCAGCAGCCCGCAGAATCCCTGTCAACAGTACGGTCATGTTGCAGGGGCGGGAAAGAGGGCCAGAAATCAGTGCAGGAGAAGCAGGTGCCGTGCTGGTGGAGGGAGGGGCACAGGGGAAAGAATTGAGGGTAATGGGCAGTCAAGCGGAAGGTGCTTGCAGCCTGGCAAGAAGTGCGCTCAGCAGCCCGCAGGTTTCCTCGTGAACAGCGCGCCCATGTTGCAGCCTTGGAAAGGGAGGGGAGAGTGCCCGGGTGAGCAGTGCTGTAAGGGGGCGAGTCCGTGCAGTGGGCCAAACATGGGTGTAGGGCACGCAGCTGCAGAGCAGAGCTGGGGGTGAGGGGATATGTTGGATTATGTGCTCAAGACCCTTCGCGTTTAGCGTATGTACGTTAACGCGTACACGCAACAGGAGGAGGTGGAAAAGAGGAAAGAGAGTAGTGGCTTCTGAGAGGGATGTGGGAGAACCTGTTGGATGAACCTGTGGGCTGAGGGTCGGTATAGGAGAAGCACGTGAGGAGCTGGGGCAGGAAGGGGTGCAAAAAAAAGGATGTGAGTAGGAAGGATGTGGGGGGCAGGGTTAGGGTGCATCTTAACGCTTCGAAAACTTCTTTCTGGGCTGATTGGAAATATACACGTTCGCCATTTTGCGGTCTTCGATTCCGACAACAATCGGCAATTGCCGCGATTCCAACAATCTCACCTTGGCGATATCCAGCTTGTCAATCTTCCCCGGTCCCCGCGAGCCACCCATCCGTAACACCCCGCCCCACCGGCACCCGCCCCTTCACCCTCGCAACACCCCCCCTCCTCCCCCCCTCTTCCTTCACCAAAACCACCCCTCCACCCACTCCCTTCCCCCCCCCAAAAAAAACAGCCACCGACACTCACACACATACCCACCCCCCACCGACTCGCACCTTCGTCACAAAGTCACCTTTGCTTCGACAACAAGCAAATCCATCCAAAGCCA